TTCTATGATTCTATGATTCTATGGCTGAAGGATAGAAGTTATGTTCTTTGGGAGGAATTCAAGTCGGATATTCCTCAGTGCTACATCTTTCGTCACATGGGCTGTGCAGTTGTCCACAAGTAGCAAAATCTTTCTCCTTTCCAGGCCCAACTTTTGATCCCAGTCGTTCAGCCACTCACTGAATAGATAGCCTGTCATCCAAGCAGATGCATTGGCAGCAGGGTGGCTGCAAGATGTCTCACATTTTTCAAACACTGTGGATTTTGACTTTTCCTGATGATGAGGTCCTTTTTCTTACCAATCATGGAACAGATGAACAGACCAGTAATTCCTTCTTTAGACTTCTTTCCTCCTTTTTTATTGTCTGATTTAACCATAAAAGTGCCATCAGGCAGGGCTTGAAAGTAAATTCTTCTACTTTCATCTGCATTCCAAATGTCTTCTTCAGCAGAGTCCTGTCTTGGTTCAATCCGCTCGTTTTCTAACCATTCTTTGTGTACCCTAATGTCTGCATCTTTGGCTTCTCCAGGCATTTTCTTAAAAACAATCCCCTCTTGTTTTTTAAAGAGCTCAAATCAGCCAGTGTTGGCCTTGAAGTCAGTAACACCCAGGGCTGCTGCCAGTTCTACTTTTTGCATCACCAACGGTCCACTTAGAGGGCATTTCTCTCTGGAATTTCTGATCCGCTTTATAAGCGCCACCTCAACCGTAGATGCCCTTGCCTGACCTCATTCTTTTTCTGTCTCCTTCATTTTGTATGATGCTCTCCCTGGCTTTGAGAATCTTAGACAATGTAGGTTGTGGACTGCCCAATTTCTGAGCTGCTTCTCTTTGGCAGGTTTTGGGAAAACTATGGTGGGACTCTAGAAGGTGGCATTTTCCATCTTTCTTTTTCCTGCCATGTTGACTCACACATAAATGGCACACCTTGTTTCTACACTGGGATTATACTTCAGACACGCTACGTGCCTAGTAATGTGAGATGTCATCAAATTCAAAACAGTTTATTGGCTTTTTATGTGTCCTTGCACTTGATTATTGTATTACAAATAGTCAGTTTGCCCCAAAATGATCCTTAAATGTGGACTGCTTGATTCTTAAAATTGGAGTATGTTAGCAGGGTTAGTATAGGAATGGTTTTGTCCCAGTGGTTTTGATCACTGTATGTGGCTGATGCTTATATCAGTAATTCTTATAAATGGAGTGCATTTGTCCTTGGTTTTCTGGGATGCTGCTAACACTAAGGCCCCTGCCAGCTCCTGGCTGGTCCCTTGAATGCTCTTGGTGGTTCCAATGGCATTGGCTGCAGCTGCTGGGCCCTGTAGACCTATTGCCCCCCCCCCCCCAATCTTAAAGGCGTCTCTCCCAGCCTAAGGACCCAGATCTCAAGCAGTTCTAGGAGGCAACAAATGAGGAAACAGGGATGGGCGCGAGGGTCAGGCAGGGAGCCACTAAGAGGCCCATCCAGAAACTGCTGCTATGGCAGCTTGGCCGTGTAAAGCCTGGTTTATGAAGCCAATGTCCTGACCCCGGACTCTGGAGCCAGCTCGCCCTAGCCACGTGGAGCGGCACCTGCAGCGGGGCCATGAGCTGCCTTGACCTGGGGCGTCTCACTCCCTCCCGCGCTGGGATTCAAAACTCTCTACAAAGCCGGCTTCTTCCCTCGGGCTCTCGCTGCCCGCCCCCGCCGGGTGACTCCCGCAGGGCCCGCGCTGCTCTCTGAGACGGGGTCAGTGCCGCGGGCCCCGCGCGAGGGGCTGTAACGCGCCGGGCTGCGGGTGCCCGCGCTCGGGAGCCTTGGCCTTTCGCCCCTCCCCCTCCCTTCCCACGGGGCACAGGGGCTGGGCAGCGCGTTGCTAGGCAGCAGGATCATGGGAAGGACACGTAAAGCTTCTACAGGAGGAAGGAGGCGGGGCATCGGGGGTCACAAGATTTCACCTCTCAGACAACGCCGGTTCCTCCTTAGCCTGGAGGGGAGCAGCGTGGCTCAGCCTAACCTGTCAGCTCCGCGCCCTCACGCCTGCACGTCGTGGTGGCGATCGCAGCCAATCAGGGGCGCGGCTGCGGGAGCAGGGCGGGCTGGTGGGGGCGGGTTCGGTTGCTCTGCGCGCTGGAGGCGGGGCTTCTGAGTGAGCGCTTCCTGCCCTCCCTCCACCCGCGCGCTGGGACTCGGTGGCGGCCGGTGCAGGAGACGGTTGCGGCGGCGGCTGCGGAGATCGGCCCGTCCTCACCCGGGAGCGGCCATGGCGCGGCGCCGCTAGGTTTCCCTGCGGGGTCGGGTCGAGCCGGGGCCGCTCCGCGAGTCGCAGGCCGGGATGGGGCCGGGGGGCGGCCGGCAGGGCCCGGAGGCAGCGGGAGGCCGAGCGTCCTGCCGGGCCGCCGCGCTGCTGCTCCTGCTGCTCCTGGCCGCGCCCGCCGCCCTGGAGGAAGAGACCGGCAGGAACAAGGAGCCGCCGGCGCCGCCACAGCAGCAGCAGCCGCAGCCCGCGGTGCAGGGGCTAGATCCGGCCCGGGCCGAGGTGAGGCGGGGGCCGTGTGTCTGTGTGTGGTGCTGGGGTGTGTCCCCCGCTCCTTCTCCTCTGTCCCCCCGGGTGCACAGGGGCCGCAGCCCGGAGCCCCATGGCAGCGTCCTGGGCGGGGCGGGCCCGCCTGTCGCACAGCACCCGGCACGGGGCGGATGAGGTCGGGGTGGGCGGGCTGCGGCGGGGGCAGACACCCCGCCTGGGGGTGAGTGTCGGGTGTCTCCAGCTTGCTGTGGCTTGGTGTCTCCTCCCCCGCCTGTTGAGCGCTCCTGGGTATCAGAGTAGCAGCCGCAAAAAGAACAGGAGTACTTGTGGCACCTTAGAGACTAAGGTATGCTCTAATAAATTTGTTAGTCTCTAAGGTGCCACAAGTACTCCTGTTTTTTCTCCTGGGTATGTGACCTAGGGTGGCTCTGCAGAGTCCAAGCTTTAATCTAAAAGAAAAGGTGTTTAGCCCACATGGCTGCCAAGTTAACCTTGATTTATATAATACCTAACTAATAACACGTAATTAAACTTAATTGCAGCGTTAAAGGCTGTATTCCCTTGGCCTTTATGCAAACCTCCCATTGACGTAGTGGGGAGTCCAGCAGTGGATAGAGAGGCATGTGCAATCTTAAATTGATACCCTGTGCACAGAACTGAATTAAAAGTGGATTTGTTCCTCTCTGAATAAAGAATGACCGTGGCTCACCTTCCTGAGGGGATAGGCTGGTTAACTAGATCCCAGCATGTATGTTGAAGCAAAGCTCTAATGGCTACAAATGAACAACATTCATGCAAACATACTGGTGTCTTATACTTTAACTATTGAAATGTGTCATGTTTTTTCCAAGTGTTCTGGATCATTTAATACGGGCCATCAATTAATCAAGCACATTAATCCTTAGTGGGTCCCCATGTTAGGGAATGCTGCTGCAACACTTTGACCATAAGCTTTAGGAGGAACTGTGGAAGCCCTTTAGTATTTCCATACTTGACACTGTGAGGGCAGAAAAAAAAGGGAAGCAGAGAGAACATGAGCAGTGTAGGCTAAAATGTAGAGCGGAAGGCATGGAGCAAGACCAAACTGCAAGAGGAAAACAGTTGACGCAGCAAAGTGGATAGAGGTGATGAGATTGGGAAGACCGGAGTAAGTGCTAGTGAGGAATGAAACATGAATGGAAAAATACTGTCTTTATTGTATTCCTAGCCTAATAGAAGTTTAAAGCCAACCCACTCCCCCAACTATTTAACTTTGCCCAAAGACCTGCAAGAGCTAATGAAGCTTTCACCTAGAGCTTGTTGAGGAGTCACTTTAGACCCAGACCTCTGGTCATGGCTTGTTATCTCAATCATCTGGCCTTTTATTCTTTCCCAGACTTATCAAGTCTCTCTGACTATACAGTAGTGCTTTCAGAAATGGAAAGTAATTATTTCCATCTGGCTGAACAGCAGTGTTTTTTTAAAGCAACTCTTATGGGAATCTTGGAGCCTAAGAAGGAATAGGTTATTGAGGTAATGTTAATCTGTCATTAGGAAAAACCTGAATCTGTACAGGGATATCAGTTGTTAGGTTTGTCAACATTTACTTCTGAAAGGGGAGACTTTCAATGGCACAAAGAGCAGTTAGGCACCTAATTCCCATTTGTGCCTCTGAAAATCTCCCTAAGTACCTTGTACTGGACTGTCTTGAGGGCACAGAATAGGGTGGTGTTTAGGAAGTGTCTAGTATATTTTGGACATTATAGCAGTCTAAATAATGCTAAGTATGTTGCTGGTAAACATTTTCCTTAACTCCAGAAAAATTTCACTTTGCTCCTTGTCTCCACCTCCAGTTGTTGACTTCATATTCATTGGTATGTGGGGCTGACAGGCAGAGGCACGTACAGTATGCTAAGAAAGAAACAGTATGCAAGAAACTAGAACCTTTAGCCTACAAAACTTGACTCTTTAATCTTGATTTTCAAGTTAAATCTGTTAATGCATCTCTAAAGAATTAGGTACTTTATGTTCACCATAATTCACTTGAGAGTTGAGACTATTTCTGCTATAGCTCTTTCTGTAAGAATTGACAAGTGATGGATGATCATGGGATGCAACAAAGGAGCCTGCAGGCTGGGGAGGAGAGATAAATATAGGGTGAAATTTTATTTGCTAGAAATTGGTCTACCGAAAATGGGACATTAAGCTGGGGATTTGGCATTTGATAAAATGAACAGCAAAACTTGGCCACGAAAAGTAAGATGACAGTCTGAAAGCATTAATCTGATGACAGCGTGTTTGCTTACATGCTAATGAATCTGCATTTGAGGAAGTGGGTTTTAGCCCACAAAAGCTTATGCTCAAATAAATTTGTTAGTCTCTAAGGTGCCACAAGTACTCCTGTTCTTTTTTTAGATGTAATACAGTAACCTGAAAACTGCTTGCTTCACTGATCTTCCAAAATAATAGAAAGAGCCATGTATTGTAAATTGCAGTATTGCCATGACTTGAATGTACCTTCCATTTACTGTGATAGTGATCGCTATACCTAAGTAATATCTGTACAAAGGTATTTCATTATTAATCATAGCAGGATATCATAGGTTAATGACTGATCACTATAGTCCCAGATGGGTGGCAGTCAGTAGTAGTTAAAAGATTCTGATTGAAGGAAAACTTCAATAATCCTGCTTGAAAATATTCTAATAAGTATTAGACCGTAATGGTTTGCAATAGGAGAAAACTAGAGTTGCATTCTTTTGGGAGTTAAATGTTCAACCTTAAGCAATCATTTTCTTCTTTTACAGAAATGGCCCACGGCAGTTCCTCCAGTTCATCTTATCAGTGAAGAATCTGCTGATAAAACTAATTTGGGGTTTATTCATGCTTTTGTGGCTGCCATATCAGTCATCATTGTGTCAGAACTGGGGGATAAGACCTTCTTTATTGCAGCCATCATGGCAATGCGTTATAATCGTTTGACTGTAATGGCTGGTGCCATGCTTGCCTTAGGACTGATGACATGCTTATCAGGTTAGAACTCTTTGCTGCCTTTCTCAGAATTCACTGATTAAATAAATGCGTATAGTCTGTTATCCTTAAATCTTAACCAAAGTGAAAATGAATGCAACAGGTATGCAGGATTTATTAGTAATTCTTTTCTATATAGCGTTAAGGGCTACTAGCTTTTTTTTTGGTAGTCTCTTATCATATAAATTTTATGCCATTCAAAGTAAATGCAATGGGATCGTATAACTTCATTCATTAGTTGAAGACAGAGGGCACTCAGACGTGACATGTATATTGATATAAATTGGACTATCTTGGACTTTTGCTTACATACTGCTATGTAAGTGTAAATGAGATTAAGGGCCAGGTTCTGTGATGCTTTTTCTGTGCAGTACGCAGAAAAAGTAGCCAGGGTCTGGGAGGGGAAGGTAGCTTTAGACATCTCTGGGATTCTGGGGTGGCACTGCCCTCAGTATAAGTTAGAGCAGCTCCAAAGGCTGCTGTCGCCGCAATTTACCATGGTGATGCTCTATAGCTCAGAATACAGGAAAACAAAGTGTTTGTTCTGTAATAGATCTCTTAACAGTGAACTTTGCTAAGGAGCAGCACTTACAAATAGTAAATAATCAGTGGTCATCTTGGTATCATTTAACATATAATGTAACTTATTTTCTTTCAGTTTTATTTGGCTATGCCACCACAGTTATCCCCCGAGTGTACACATACTATGCGTCAACTGCACTGTTTGCAATTTTTGGCATCAGAATGCTTCGGGAAGGCTTGAAGATGAGCCCAGATGAGGGTCAGGAGGAGCTGGAGGAAGTTCAAGCAGAAATCAAGAAAAAAGATGAAGAAGTAAGTCATAAAGTACTTAGAAGTCATGACTAATGAAACACTTAGTCCTGTTAGGTTGCACAATTAAGGAAGCGTGTGCATGCGGGTTGCTCAGCTGTATATATGTGTAATAAGAGTCTGATGCAAAAAAAATGTGTGGTTAACAATAACCTGAAAACAGACAGAAATGCCCCCTCTTCGCCATGGACCACATAACAGAATGCCCCCTCTGCTAATTTCCTGGAGACTGTTTTAACAGCTGGCTGTAATTCTCGGCTGTATAACTGCATTTTGAGGTGGGAGAGAGAAGTGAACTGCCTCTTCATATTTCAAGCATGAATTCTATATATCTTTCACCTGGGGCTTTACCAGCCAGAATGTGGACAGCTACCATTGCTGCTGCTTTTATTTATAACATTTAGGTAGAGCAGGGGTCGGCAACGTTCGGCACGCGGCTCGCCAGGGTAAGCACCCTGGCGGGCCGGGCCAGTTTTATTTACCTGCTGACGCGGCAGGTTCGGCCGATCGCGGCGCCAACTGGCCGCGGCTC